CCTAATCTCTACACCCAACGTAGGGTCAAACTCATAACCCCAAGATCAAGAGTTGCAGGCTCCACCGACTGAGCCAGCCAGGTGCCCCGGTATCATCCAGCTTTCTAATTTTTGCCTGATCAATAGGTGTTAACTGATGTCTCATTGTTGTTTTATTTTTTTTTTTTTGTTAAGATTTTTATTTTTAAGTGATCCCTACACCCAATATGGGGCTCAAACTTACAACCCTGCTCTGCCAACTAAGCCAGCCAGGCACCCCTCTCCTTGTTTTTGTTTGTTTATTTATTTATTTTTGAGAGAGGGAGAACGAGTGGGGGAGGGGCAGAGAGAGAGGCAGACACAGAATCCGAAGCAGACTCCAGGCTCCGAGCTGTCAGCACAGAGCCGGATGCAGGGCTTGAACTTACAGACCGTGAGATCATGACCTGAGCCAAAGTTGGATGTTTAATGGACTGATCCACCCAGGTGCCCCTCCATAGTTTAATTCTTTACATTTAGGTCTTTACTTCATTTAGAGTCTTTGTGTGTGGCGTAAGGATCCGTTTTCTTTTTCTCCATAGAATGTGCAAGTTTTCCTAAAATCACAGTGAACAATCCATCCTTTCCTCCATGGAATGGCAATGCAACCTGTCTCGTCTTACGTCCCTAAACGGGCCTGGGTCTGCCTGTGAGTCTGTTCTGTTCCTTTGGTGCATGCACCTGTTCTTGTATCCCACTGTTTTTATAACTGTGGCTTTGCAGTTGGTCTTAATATTTGGTAATGCAGAATCCCCTCTTCCTTTTTTTTTCCCTCAGGGGAGGGGCAGAGAGAGAGGGAGAGAGAGGATCTCCAGCAGGCTCCCAGCTGACAGTGAAGAGCCCAATGTGGGACTGGAACTCATGAACCATGAGATCATGACCTGAGCCAAAATCAAAGTTGGACCCTTAACCTGCTGAGCCACCCAGGCACCCCTAGACCCTCCCTTCCTTTTTAATGTTGACTTAGCTATCTGTATACCTTTATTCCTCCATATAATTTTTTAAATATTTATTTATTTTTGAGAGAGAGAGAACATGAGCAGGGGAGGTGTAAAGAGAGAGAAGGGGACAGAGGATCCAAAGGAGGCCCTGCACGAACAGCAGCGAGCCCGACGCGGGGCTCAAACTCACAAACCATGAGATTATGACCTGAGCCGAAGTCAGACGCTCAACCGACTGAGCCACCCAGGTGCCCTGTGCCTCCATATAAATTTTAGAATTGGTTTATCGAGTATTAAAAAAAAAAAACATTTTGATTAAGATTGCTTTAAACATGTAGACTAATTTTGAGAGAATTGACATGTGGATAATATTAAGATAGCCTATCTAAGGATATGGATGGTTTCATTTTTTTCAGAATACCTTCTGTATCCTTTATTGACATTTTAATTTTTTAAAAGTAATCCCTGTGCCCAACGTGGGGCTCCAACTGATGACCCTGAAATTAAGAGATGCATGGGGTGCCTGGGCAGCTCAGTCAGTTAAGCGTCTGACTTCAGCTCAGGTCATGATCTCATGGTTGGTGAGTTCAAGCTCCACATTGGGCTCTGTGCTGACAACTCGGAGCCTGGAGCCTGCATCAGAATCTGTGTCTCCCTGTCTCTCTGTTCCTCCACTGCTCACACTCTGTCTCTCTCTCAAAAATAAATAAACATTAAAAAAAAAAAAAAAAAAGAGTTGCATGCTCTACGGACTGAGCCAGCCAGGCACCCCTAAAACTTTGTTTGAATTGGTTATTACAGGGGCACCTGGGTGGCCTGGTTGAGCTTCTGACTCTTGATTTCAGTTCAGGTCATGATCTCACTGTTCACAAGACCAAGCCCTGGGTCAGGCTCTGCGTTGACAGCATGGAGCCTGCTTAGGATTCTCTCTCTCTCTCTCTCTCTCTCTCTCTCTTCCTGTGCTCCTCCCCCGCACTCTCTCTCTCTCTCTCTCTCTCTCTCAAAAATAAACGGGGGAGGGGGGATAACAAAAAAAAAAGAAAGAAAAATAAACATAAAAAATAAACACGAATTGGTTATTATAGTGTTACAGAAATGATCCTGATTTTTGTAGGTTGATCTTATATCAACCATGATAATCTCTTTGCTGACTTGCTGCCCTGTTTGTTATGAGGATGAAAAGTATTTCTAAAACATTTTAGTCAATTGTGAATACCAGCCGAATCATTGATAAAAGCCCATTTCTAATATTTATCATTCTAATTAGCAAAGCCTCTGGTGTTGATCAGATGGATGAGTGCCTGGTAGCAGCTGCGTCTGGAGCCTGCTCTTTTAATTAAAACCCATCTGACACCTTCTCCCCGCACCCCCGCCGCGTTCCCAGAGTAACTAACCTCTGGGGTGCAGTTTAAAACCAACTCACATAGCCACGAGGGGGCGCTGAGACCTCACTTCTATACGAGGAGGCTTACTGTGTGCGGAGAGAGAATGTGGCCACCAGGGGGCACTGTTTGGGGCAAGCACCTACTGTGTGCCCGACACTGTTCCAGACATGAGGACAGCCATACTCAAGGCAGGCAAGGAGCTAATATTCTGAAGGTTGGGGAGTGTAGACAGACAATGAAATAACAGATTATGTCAGGGTGTAACAAATTCTATGGAGAAACTAAATCAGGGTGACAGGATAGTGACAGAAGGCATGGCTCCTTAGATAAGGGGCTCACAGAAACCTCTCTGAGATTACATTAAAGGAGGATGAGGGACCCTCAGAGAAGAGTGCTCTGGGCAGAGGAAATGTGTCTGTGGTCCCGGAGGGAGTGAGGTGGGGAAGTGGGAGAGTGCAGGGAGGAGTATATAGGGGAGGATTTTGGCTTTTGTTCTGAGACCAAGGGAAGCCCACGGAGGGGTTGTGATATGAAGGATCTCCAAGGTGGGTTGTTTTGTGAAAAAGAGCAAGGTTGGGGCAGAATCTAGGTTCCCACTTGTTTGTATTCGCATAAAGAAATCGTAGAACAATACCTAGAAACTGATTTTAAAAATGATGAATTGGAGGAAAGCGGAAAAGGGAAGGCAGTGGATGGAGACAAAGGGGAGAGCGAAGGAAAGGTGTTATCTGGCTGCTGAGTGGGAAACAGACAGAGGCAGGGAGCCTGGTGAGGAGGCAAGTGGGGCAGTTCAAGGGTGGCAGGTCAGAGACACGGTGTCCTTTGGGGCTTTGTCACATCAGAGGGCTTGAAAATCAGTGTTCCCAAGGTACATCTTTGCTAGCCAGGGATGATGCTTAACCGACTGAGCCACCCAGGCACCCCCTGAGATATCCTATCTGAAGGGCAATACAGGGGCACCTGGTTGGCTCAGTCAGTTACACATCTGGCTTTGGCCCAGACCTTGATCTCATGGTTCATGAGATTGAGCCCCATATTGGCTTTCTGCTGTCAGTGCAGAGCCTGCTTCAGATCCTCTGTCCCCCACCCCCTGCCCCTCCTCTGCTCACACTCTTTCAAAAATAAAATGAACATTTAAAAATAATTAGATAGGACATCTCAGGAGTATGAGCAGTCACTAACACTGTAGTATGAGTTAGTCAACCTCTTCCTGACACTAAAGCATAGCACTCACCGCTATGGTTTATGGGAGCATTGTAGGGTAGGAGTTGAGTAGTTGGGCTCTGGAGTCAGGTGCAAGGGACTGAAGACCAGTGCCACTTTCCAGATGTGTGACTTTGGGCACATGATAGCACTAAACTCGGCCTCAGTTTCCTCATCTGTGAAGTCCCCATTTTCCAGATGAAGAAACTGGGACGCTCAACACATGGGACACCCAGGACTTTAGAACCTAAGTTTTGAGCACAGACCACCTCCACAAAACGAGGAACCAAAAACAGGTTGTGAGATGGAAGTTCAAAGGGTTCCGTGGGCCCCAGAGGATGTTCTGGGAGATGGGCCCAGGTGATCGGATGCCAGGAGGGATACCTCCATCTTCCACACATTCATTCTCTATACATTTAGGTGGAGGAAGGGAGACACTGAAGCCTGAAGTCTGTCTGTGTAGGGACAGCGAGGCCACCTGAAGGGCTGGACAGGCAAGGTGTCCCTGCATTCCCCTCTTTAGCCACGTCTTCTCTTCCTGCCAGAGCTCAGACCCCCTGGGATGGGTGCCTGATCCTAGCTGGGCTGCTGGGTGGCACGGGGTAAGGACAGGGGCTGGGACCTCAAATCCAGTCAGTAGTAGAGGCAATATGTGAAGTGTGCTTTGCCCTGGGGGGGGGGGGGCAGAGACCCCTTGCTCTGGCCCTGGCCCACCCCGTATCCCGACTGTACACAGCCAGGACTACGGGTACAACTAGATCTGCTGTTAAAATACTGAAATACTTCTAGTTTGGGTTAAATAGCTACCACAACTTCTGAGCCCTAGCCCCTCCCCTGTAACCCTTCAGGCCTCCCCCTGCTCCAGCCCAGGGGCCTCCCTGATCCAGCTCCAGGGGACTTGAACATCCTGATTAGCCGATGGCCCTGCCAATATTTGGTATCTTCCCCCGGCTTAGCCTCAATGTCAGTCCCTCCACCCACAAGGTTCAGAGTCCTCCGATATGGGTACCCGTTTCACACAAACTCCCATGCATCCTTCAAAGCCTTGCCTCAATGTCACTTTCTTCAGGAAGCCCCCTTAAATTGGTCTGTTCATGGCGTCTTGTGGTGATGTTGGGCACGTTTGGTTTTGCACGTCTCCCATGATGCAAGGACCACAGACCATCATTCCCACAGGAACCCTGAATGACACCTACTGTGGCCTTGCTGGCTTGTGCTGGGCCGACCAAGGCTGGCGGGGTGGGGGAGGTGGGGAATGACAAGATGAGTCCCCGGGGGGCAGGGGTGCTAGGTCAGCAGGGCCTGTTCTCATGCTCTCTGGCTGAGGAGTGAGCCTCCATCTGTCGGGCCAGCTGCGGGTGCTGGGACACGAGGAGACGCAGCGGGAGAGAGGGAGGTGTTGGGGGAGCTTGGGGAAGCCCAGTGATCAGGGAGAGGAAAAACAGGCACGCGAGTGTTGTTATAGAACCATTACATACAACTTATAAACAAGCCAGGACCGTGTGGAGTGAAGGGGAGAAGGGAGGGGGCCGCAGAGGCGAGAAGGTCAGGGTGGCGCGGTCCGGGCCGGGTCCTGGAGGGGGCTCAGGCTGCTGTCACCGGAGGGGCTGGGCTGGCGGAGACCTGGCTGCTTGTGGAGGCCTCGAAGCTTCACCAGCAGCTCCTGGACGAAGTCCTGAGGACAGGGCAGGGGTCCTGAGAACATGGGGAGGGGTGGGGCCAACCCCACCCACCCAGCCCCCATTCCCTCTGACCTGGTCAGTGAGAGGGCGTGGGGGTAGTTAGGGAGGGGGACGAAAGGCAGAGACTGGGAAAGAGAGAGGGAGACACACAGAGAAAGACAGGGAGAGAAACAGAGAGAGTCGGAGAGAAACAGGGAGAGACACAGGGAGAGATAGAGACACAGACAGGGAGAGAGACAGAGACCCAGAAACTGGGACCAAGACGGAGACAGAGACAGATGCAGAGGGAGAGACAAAAGCACAGAGAAGAAATAGCCACAGAGAGACCTCAAGAGGTTTCACGGGCCAAGAGATCACCAGGAGGGTCCCCAGGGACAGAGGCCTTCGCTCCAGGGCAGACAGACACACAATGACGTTTGTCCCTCAGGCAGCCCAGAGCCATTTAGAGAAACATGAATATTTTTCCCTTTTAAAGCAGGGAAGGAAGTGGGAGGGGTTGGGGCCGCTCAGCTTCAGGGCCTGCAGGGATGGGAGGGCCCCAGAGGTGGGGAAGGGAGAAGCAGCCCGGGGAGGGGAGTAGGGGATACCCGGAGAGAGGCTGAGCCCAAAGACTGGAGGCCCCAAGGAGAAACAGCAGAGGAAAGGCAGAAACCGGAGACAGATGGGGAGCGTCTCAGTGGGGAGGAGATAATGGGGCCCCAGTGGCAGATGGGGAGAGAGGAGCCAGGGTGAGGAAGACAAAGACACCACTGGAGCTGAGAAAAGGCCTGAGCGACACAGAGGGCTCCCCAGAGTTCCCTCTGACGACCCTGGGCAAGACAGCGCCTTCCCTCCTCCCCAGGGACCCCCTTTTCCACCAGGATGCAGGGGGCCAGAACAGGGCCTGCCGCGTGGGAGGGCAAACTCACCTCTGTGGGGTTCTTGCACGACTTCAGGAGTCCCTAAACACCCCAGCCCCCCGCAAAAAAAGAGAAAACAGTAAATGACTAGCACCTAATCCCCTCCGGCCCCTTCTTTCCCAACAAGGCCCCGAGGCAACAAGACAAAAGGAAGTCAGACTCTAGGGTGGACTTCCCATCTGGTTTCAAGAGAGGAACATGGCCCAAGGGTCTTACAGAGCACGGAGGGGCGGAGGGGGTGTGGTGGAGGGCGTTAGGGTAGAGTCCAGAAACCCGCACCAGGACCAGCTCTGAATCCAGAGAGGGCCAGAAGGTCACACAGTACTTCCTGTCTCTGGGAGAGCACAGCAAGGTCAGAGCAGTCAGACTGCTTGGCCTTGACTCCCAGCTCTGCTCTTTCTGAGCTGGGGCCCCGAGCAAGTGATTAAATCTCTGTGGGCCTCATTTTCCTCATCTGGAAAATGGGAGATAATTATAGTGATAATAACAAAACGGAGAGGATAAACCCTTGACAGGGTTTGTGAGGATAAAATGAGTTAAGTGCAAAACAACTGGAACAGTGCCTGGCACATACTAAGTGCTCAATAAACCTGGGAACTATTGCTGGGGCGGCAGCTTTCCCCCCCACCCCCCCACCCCCACCTACCTGGATCTTCCGGCTTCTCTCCTCTTCACTCTCTAATTCCAACAATTCATCAATGTTGACCTCATCAGGCATGTCTGCCTCCTAAGGCAGGGAGGGAGGGGTGGTCAGGGTCCCTTTCCTGTCCCTCCCTCGCCTTTGTCCAGGGCTCTGGAGAAGCCCCACCAGCCCCAGGGCCCAGCTGGCGTGTTCTGGAGCAACAATGTGGCAGTCAGGGACAGCACCGCCAAGGCGGGACATCTGGGTGTTGGGGGGGGGGGAGGGGGAGGGGTGACAGATGGGTTGACAGAGGCCAAGGGGCCTGTACCAGCTCAGATGCCTGGGCCCCAGGGCCCAGAGAGCCTTGGGGCTGGCACAGGTCTCTCCTCTTGGCCCCAGTTCCCATAGTGGGAAACAGGCCTGGTCGAGTCTTGGAATGTCAGATTCTGGGATTCAGGAGAGGGGCTGGCTCTGCCCTTTCAAGGAAAAGTCTAAGCACTAGGTGTGGGGGAGGGGAGCAGGCAGGCCAGAGCCTCCTGCTGGGGGGCAGCCCCTTGTCCAAGAGGACAGCAAGGGTGGTTAGGGCTCAGGGCAGCCCCCAGGGCCAATAGTGTGCCCCGGTCAGTCCAGAGAGGTGGCCACCAAAGCCCCCCAGGGTGGGCGGGCGGGATGAGCCACGAGCCCAACTGTAAGCAGCCAAGAGGGGGATTTCTAGTATAGCCTCTTGGGGCAAAGAGCCAAATGCAGGCTCATTATCCCTGTGGGGGACAGAATCCAGCTGTCAAAGCAAGAGATCCCTGAGGCTACAGATTTTTTCCTCCCCCACCCAAAGTGCTTCTGACTTCACTGTGGACCTCAGGGCTGGCTGGTCCTGGGTTTGTGTGCGGAGAAGGGGCAAAGGCAGGGAGAGTCTAGAAGTGTGCCACACAGCCTGCGTGAGGCTCTGCGTGTGAGCCAGAGCCCGATGCCAAGGGGCTGGGGCCGGCCCAAGAGGCAGAGGTGTGGGGCTTCGTGTGTGTGTGTGTGTGTGTGTGTGTGTGTGTGTGTGTGTATTGCACGGGGGCCTATGGTCCTGTGACCGGGAGGCGTGTGGCTCTGGCTTAGCCGTGTCATCGTCAATGTGTCATGGCAGCTATAACGCCCACTGTCTGAGGATGTCACCTACCGCTGGCAACTGGACTTCTCTGTCCACTTCCAGGAGCCTACCCACATGTCAGAACAAAAGGGCCCCACCCCACGTCACCGTAAGGGGCCATGGCTCCTTCTGCCTCCAAGCTGTGCTGAGGAGCGTCTGTGCGTCCTGCCGGTGCAGCGACACAACCATCAGGTCCCCGTGACTGCGTTTTTGTGTTGCACGGTGTTGACTTCAAGCAGAGACTCCAGCCCAGCGTGTGAAATGTCTGTCTGCGGCCTCTGCGTCAACACCTCGGGCGGTAGCTTCGGTCCCGGGTGCCCACGGACAGGACAGCGGTAATTTCTGCCGTCGGGCATCTGTTTCTACCTGTGTCACTTGTGTGGTTTTCTGTCCGGGTGTAGCGGTCATTCCTGTGATTTTATGTCTGTGAGTGGCTGTCGCATCTGCCATTGTGTTTGCCACGTGATTATTGGTTTTGCTTGTAGGAGAAAATGGGTGGCTGTTAGTTGAACCATTTGGTGTCCCTGGGTAGGTGAAGCTGGGACCGTCTGTGAATTGCTACACTGTGTATCTATGAAGAGCTGTGACCGGAGCCCTTTTGTGTGGTTGTCGTTGTAACTGTGTGTCTGCATGGGGCTGTGGCCTGTGCCAGGATGCCTGTGGGTGCCCGTTGATCTGCAGGTGACCACAGCGTGTGTCCTTGAGAGTCTGTACGTCTGTACCTGGCTGTTGCTTCTGTTGCTGTGTCTGCTAGTGGCTCTAACTTGTCGCTGTGCACGTCTGTAAATGCTGTTGCTTCCTTTGCTGTGCGTCTCCTCGTCTTAGTATCTTCCCCGTCACCATATCTATGTTTGGCTTTAAGACCTCCCCGTCCCCCAACTTTTCTCCAGATATGGCCGCTCAGGCTCTGCAACTTTGCCTCCTCATCCCCCGTGTGCTCAATCACTGGCCTTCCCCAGGTGTTTGGACACATCTCTGGAGACCCAAGTGTGGTCCGTGTCCACAAGCATAGTGCCATGGAGGGGAGACACTAGGGCCAAGGAGTCCCATGAGTGCCTGGTCCCGTGCGTGCGTGCTCTTGTGTGACCGAGGCCAGCACAAGCAACCAGAGACCCGAAGGGTGTAGAGGGTGCGGGCCCGGGGTCTGTCGGTCCCTCCCCCCACCCCTCCATCCCCCTCCCTGCCTCACCCTGCCGCGGTACAGCTCCTCCAAGCGCCCGTCGATCCACTTCTCCACGTCCAGCCGCCGCTGCAGCTCCCGCCGGTCATACTTGACGGTGACACGCGCGTGACGTTTCTGCAGCCCCCCGGGGCTTCCCCCCGGCCCGCGGGCCCGCGACGGAGACTGCAGCTTGCTCAGCACCCGCTTGCCCAGCCGCTGAGCTGCCATCGCGGTCCTGGCCCCGGCCCCCGCGCAGCACTGTGCGCTTTCGCTAGGCGCCCAGGGGGCCTCTTACGGGCTGGGGCGGGGCCGGCCGGGGGCGGGGGCTCGGGCTCGCCCGGGGGCCAGCTCCGCCCCAGGCTCCCGGACCTCAGTTTCCCCGCCTGCAGCGCAGGGACTGGTCTCTGCACCGAGTAAAGCCCGCAGCCGTGCACGGTCTAGGTATGGGCGCGATCCCGGAGTCCCAGGCCGGGGCCCGGCGGCTGGGGCTCCCGCGGCTGGGGCTCCCGGGGCGGGGGGGGGGGGGGGCCGGCCCCGGGGACAGGCTCTTGGGGACCAGGCCTTTCTGCGCCCCCTGGCGATTGCAAGGGACGGTGCAGGAGCCCGCGTGCCATCTTTCTCTGCAAGGGAAAATGGAACTAGAGTACTCACAGCACATCATTTGTTCGTTATTTCAATTATTCATTCACCCACGCAGCCTTTCGTTCATTTATTCACTCATTCTATTCAACAAGTGTGTATTCATTTGACATCATGTCATCCGTTAGCTTCTCTCTCATATCAGGGTCCCTAAGCCCGATAGCATCCAGATGGGTAATAACCACTCAAGTTATTACCAGGCTCCTCCCCGACACCCTTCCCTACGGGTTTCTTGGTGACCTGTGCACAGGGAGGTGGCACCTGCTCCCTTCAGTCCTCTCAACTTTATATATATATATATATATATATATATATATATATATATATACACAATCTGTCTCACACACACACACACACACACACACACACACACACACACCAGGCACTGTTCTAGGCACTAGAGATAGAGAACAGAAGACAAGCCCAGTCCTCAGGGACTTGATATCCTCGTGGTGGAGACAGGCTGTAAATACAATAAGTAAGCACGATTATACAGCTTATTAGAATATGATAAGTTCTATGAAGAAATACGAAACAGAAAAGGGGAAATGGAATGAGGGCGGGGTTGCAATTTTAACAAGGGCGATCACGGGAGTCCGTTACTTCACCAATATCCCCACTTCTTTTTTTAAATTAAAAAAAAATGTTTATTTATTTTTGAGAATGAGAAAGAGAGCACGAGTGGGAGAGGGGCAGCGAGAGGGGGAGTAACAGAGGACCTGAGGTGAGTTCTGTGCTGACAGCAGAGAGCCCAATGCAGGGCTTGAACTCACGAACCATGAGATCATGACCTGAGCTGAAGTCGGATGCTCGACCAACTGAGCCACCCAGGTGCTCCACCAGTATTCCCACTTCTTTTAAAGTTTTTTTTCAAGTTTATTTATTTATTTTGAGACAGAGAGTGCACAAGCAGGTAAGGGGCAGAGAGAAGGAGAGAGAGAATCCCAAGCAGGCTCCGCACCATCAATGCAGAGCCTGATGTGGGGCTTGAACTCATGAACCATGAGATCATGACCTGAGCCGAGATCAAGGAGGAAGCTTGGCTGAGTCACCCAGGCACCCCCAGTATTCCCACTTTTAATTTTAAGCAGCAAAAATGATACTTTAAAACTTAAGTTTGGCCATGCCCCATCCCTGCTTAAAACTATCCTTAAGTAGGCAATGGTTCCTTAGCTATGACACCAAAAGCATAAGAAACAAGAGAAAAAATAGATGAACTGGACATCATCAAAATTAAAAAGTTTCGTGTTTTAGAGGACATGATCAAGAAAGTGAAGACACAACCCACAGAATGGGGGAAAAAATGGAAATCATATTTCTGATAAGGTACTTGTATCTCAAAACATTTTTAATGTTTATTTTTTGAGAGAAAGAGAGAGGGGGGAGGGGCAGAGAGAGAGGGAGACACAGAATCTGAAGCAGGCTCCAGGTCCTGAGCTGTCAGCACAGAGCCCAATGTGAGGCTCGAACCCACTAACGGTGAGATCATGACCTGAGGCGAAGTTGGATCCTCAGCTGAATGAGCCGCCCAGGGGCCCCTGACTTGTGTGTAAAATAAAGAAGTGGGGGGGCACCTGGCTGGCTCAGTCAGTGGAGTGAATGACTCTTGATCTCGGGGTTGTGAGTTTGGGCCCCATGTTCAGTGCAGAGATCACTAAAAAACAAAATCTTTAAGGGGCCCTGGGGGGCTCTGTTGGTCGAGCATCCCACTCTTGATTTCAGCTCGGGTCATGATCTCACAGTTTGTGAGTTGGAGCCCCATATTGGGTTCTGTGCTGACGGCTCGGAGCCTGTTTGGGATTCTCTCTCTCTCCCTCTCTCACTGCTCCTCCCCACCTCTAAATAAATAAATAAATAAATAAATAGGAAATACCAAGTGTTGGCAAAGATGCAGAGAAATCAGAACCTTCATACGCTGATGATGGGAATGTAAAATGGTGCAGCCACTTTGGAAAACAGTCTGGCAGTTCCTCAAAAGGTAAAACTCAAGAGTTACTGTATGACTGAGCAATTCTACTCCTAGGACTATACCACAGAACTGAAAGCATATGTTCACACAAAAACTTGTATGGGAATGTTCATAGCAGCATTGTTCATAATAGCCAAAAGGTGGAAACAATATAGCCCATCAACTGATGAATGGATAAATAAAATGTGGTACATCCATACAATGGACTGTTATTTGGCAATAAAAAGAAATTAAGTACTAGGGTGCCTGGATGGCTGCGTCACTTAAGCGCCTGACTTCTGATTTCGACTCAGTTCATGATCCCTTAGTTTGTGAGATTGAACCCTACATCTGGCTTAGTGCTGACGGCACAGAGCCTGCTTGGGATTCTCTCTCTCTCTTTGCCCCTCCCCATGCTCTCTCTTGTGTGCTTTCTCAAAATACGTAAATAAATAAACATTTAAAAAAAAGAAATTAAGTACTGACACATGCTAGAGCATAGATGAACCTTCAAAACATGCTAAGTGAGGGGCACCTGGGTGGCTCAGTCGGTTAAGTATCCGACTTCGGTTCAGGTCATGATCTCCCATTCGTGGGTTTGAGTCCCATATAAGGCTCTGTGCTGACAGCTCAAGAGCCTGGAACCTGCTTCGGATTCTGTGCCTCCCTCTCTCTCTGCCCCTCCTCTGCTCACACTGTCTCCCTCTCTCCCTCTCAAAACTAAACATTAAAAAAAAAAACAACAACATGCTAAGTGAGAGAAACTAGATTCAAAAGGCCACATGTTGTATGATTATCTGTAATGTCCAGAATAGGCAAATCTACAGACAGGAAGTAGATTGGTGGTTGCCCGGGGATGAGAGAATGGTGGGGAAGGGTCTCTTTTGAGGATGATGCTATTTTCTCAATTGATTGTAGGGTTAGTTGCATAACTTTATTAACATACCAAAACCCTTGAATTGTACATTTTAAAAGGGTAAATTGTATGGTATGTGGCTTATATCCCAATAAAGCTGTTATATTAAAAAACAAAGAACTCTCCATAGCTCCCCATTGTCCTGGGGCATTCAAAGCTCTGCCAAGCATGGGGTGTCTCTCTGAATCAGATGGGGGTCCCCAATGTGGGGCAAGGATCAGGTGGAAGCCAGTGGCTCAGAGGTGAAAGGATTCACCTGAAGCAGAACAAAGGCGACAGAAGTTTATTGAATAGGCCCCAAGGGAGCAGGGGTCAGGACAACAGAGGAGAGGCTGTCTGCAAGGAGGCAGTGGGGGGAGGGGGGGCGTATTTAAAGTGAGAAGGTGAGGAGGTATGGGGACATGTGGGATTTTCTTTCTTATTAACTGTGCCTGGTTGTCAGGAGCCCATTGGTCAGGTAGGGCCTACGGGTATTTTGAGGTGGGTCTCCAGATGGGCCCTTCTGTATTCAGCCAGGTGGTCGCTGTGGGCCCTTTGGCCTTGATCAAGTTTCCATTGCTGGAACCTGTTGTTTAAAAGCAGCCTCTATAAAGTGTGGTCCCATCTCACACCTTTGCCCTAATAGTTCCTTCCATCAGGGAAGCTCTTCCTGAGCGTGATATCAGCAGGGTTCATTCCTTCATCTCCCTCAAATGTCATCTGTGCAGTAGGGTCTTGTCTGACACCCTATCTTATATTGTAACTCCCGTGCCCCTCACCCGGCTCTGTTTTATCCGTAACATTACATTTTAGCATTGTATACAATGTACTCATTTTATTTATTGTCTGTTTTGCAACTGATGTGCCAAAGGGCAATAGGTGTGGTCTACCAGAGTACAGGCAGAAAGGGGGTGCACTGTCCGTAGAGAATTTAAAAAATAAATGAAAACTGGCCAAAAGTTGGCCCAGTTTTTATTACACCATGCGCTGACAAATTCTAAGCAGTAGAATAAAGCGATAGAAAGAATCCTCCAAAATAATCCAAAAATCTTTCATTGGTTTACTTGTAAACAATTGACACAATTACTGTTGAGTTTTAATAAAAGGCTTCCAGTTAAGATATTTTTATTACTGTATACTTTAGTAAACATTGTATTCGTAATAGTTTTCTATTGTTACATAATAAACTACCACCAACTTTGTAGCTTAAAACTTATTGTTTCGTGGTTTCTGTGGATCCAGGCCAAGCATGGTTTAGGGGGGCCCTCTGCTCCACCGTCTCACTGAGCTATAATCCAGGTGCCAGCCAGGGCTGCTGTCTCATCGGAGGCTCAACCGCGGAAAGATCTGCTTCCAATTGCTTGACCTAATCAGGATGAGGTCTTCATTTTCTTGCTGGTTATCAGTTTGGGCTGCTCTCTTGCTCCTAGAGGTGAAGTCCTTGCCATGTAACTTTCTCCATAGGTCCTCTTACTATGTGGCAGCTTATTTGTTTCAAAGCCAGCAAAAGAGAGTCTCTCTCTCCAGTCCACTAAGAAGGAGTCTTGGGAAAAAAAAAAAAAAAAAAAAGGAGTCTTGGGGTGCCTGGGTGGCTCAGTCGGTTAAGTGTCCGACTTTGTCTCTTTGGGAATCCTCTGTCTCCCTCCCCCACTTTCAAAAAAAAAAAACATTAAAAAAAGGAGTTTTACATAGTATAATCATGAACTTCCTTTGCCATATTCTATTGAGGAGAAGCAAATCCCAGGTCCTGCTCACCCTTGAGGGGAGGGGGGTTATACAGCCCATGAGTATGGGGGCTACCCAACATC